CGTTACTTAGAATTTGGAGTTTCCTGTCCCTAATTCTCCCTTCTGTGGAGGGAGGTGGGAAATAGTTCACAGTTCCTCTCCATGGCAAATCTCTGGCTTATTTCTCTACTTATATATGTGAGAAGAAGAAAGATGAACTTTGTAGAGAGGACAAAAAATCCATGTCCTATTTCTATCCTGTAGCCTAAGTATGAAAGGAAGACTAGCCCTTAATCAACTTTTCCAATGCTCAGGAGATTTTTGGAGGTTCAGTGCATTACAAATGTGCAATGTTGGGGCTGTGGGAGTGCATTTGGGCAGAGGGGCAATGACACTGAATATACTTGTTTTGGTAAGAGAGAGATCTTCTCTCAGAGGACATGCTGTCCATATGGGAAACTTTTAACATTCAGGATTTTAGATGCTGGGACAGCAAAGAACAGTGACTGCTAACACTGTGTGTAAAAGCAGTGGTTCTTGAAATCAATAGGTAGGAAGCACTTTTAGGAAGTATAAGAAACAGAACAGCAGTCCAGGCAAGAGGAGTGCTGTAAAGCAACAGGAAGGAAAAAAGAAGCATCTGCACTTTGAAGATTATATTCCTTTTTAAAGAGAGTTCAGTTAAGGATGTGATGTGTTTGGGACACTAGAGTAGCAGAAGAGATAGGTAAAGAACTATTTCTTAAAAAAACCATGGAAACAAATGAATAGGAGAGAATGGAACAGATGAACATTTTCAAATGCTTATTTCTGGGGTGGCTGATGTCTATAATTGTTTCAGGAGACAGTGCTTTTAAAATAAATCTTCCTGTCACTTAAAGCCAGAACTGCAGAACATGCAAACAGGTTATAATCCTCATCAGATATCCTCTGGTTTTGTTATTTCTTTCTCTTTTGTTATAGCTTTGTTATAAGTGGCTATAATTTCATTTTTACAAGTGTCACTAATGGAGCCTAAACTATGGAAAACTGTAATATTTAAATCAAATATTGACATTTAGTGGTGTATTGTATACCACAAACTATTTTTATGAGCATTTACGGGATGCACTGGGAAGAGCTGGTCATGTTTCTGCTCAGGCTCCTGAAACAGATTGCAATGAGTATCTACAAATTTTAAACTCTGGAGAGCCATTGGATACAAAAGCTGGAACTATTCTGAAAGAAAAACAATATCTAATCTTGCTCTGATCTACGAGATATAGAAATTATGATGTTCAAGCAAATATTTTTTAAAAATATCTTGTTCTTGAATACTTTATACAGCAAAACTATTGTGAAATTTAGAGGAGGAAAGATGGTTCTTTATGACATCAAAATTTTGCTTTATTGAATATTTTGCATTTGCCCATTTTGAAGAGCCAAACAGATGTCAAGGGTAGAATTTTGTCTGGTTGAATTATTTAGGTGAGCCTTAGTTTTATGTACCCTAAGTAAATTCAGGAAGATATGAAGGTACATATACCCTTCTTTGGAGAGGCGTCAGGTGTGAAGAGTTTAGTTTATAGCTTGTTTTACTAGAAGAACCAAAAATAATTTGAAAATTTTCCTTCTAAAAGATTAGACACACAGGTCTAAGCCATTAGGGATAAATAGTCCAACGGATAAGTAGTCCGTGGAGATTTACAAAAAAGCTTCACTGGCAAAATGGCAAATCCCCAGGTGTATTTTGTCAAGAAAGCTGTAGCAGCACCTCCCATGGTATTGGAAGAATGGAGAGTTGGAATTGAAATGTTGCTGCTGCATCTTAACTCACCTTTTAATGAACAGGTTTCCCCTGCACATGCTTGGAGTATGTGGAAAGCAGGTGCTAGAACAGTCTTCCATCTGGAATAATTGCTCAAAATAAGTCACAGGATCAATTTTGTCTTTCCTTGTGCCCTAGATTGTGAGTTCAGCTAGCACATTCAGTGACGCTTCCGCCTCCAAGGAATTGTACCCCTGTTATTAAGAGTATTGCTAGGTTGTGTTCTTGCCTGGAAAAGCACATGTTGCAGCTGTCTTTCCTGCTCTCCCCATGAGCCTTCAACACTTCCACTCTCAGTTTTCTCCAGCATGCCTCTATGTGTGAAAGCTGAATTGCAAAGTATGCCAGTTTCAGCCATCGTAAAGCTGTCATACATTTTTGTGACTAAATTATCTGATCTAATTATTTTTTAGACTAAGACACAGATATTTTGTTGTTCTGAAGAATAAACTTTTATGTTTAGTGTCAATGTTAGAAATAAGGAAAAGAAATAAGCACAAGTTGCTAACTCTTCCTTTTTCAAAAGCTGCTTCCTTTTCTTCAGCTAGGTTTCTCCTTGTCTGCGGATGAAAAAAGCCTGTCTTCCTTTATTGTTGGCAGCTCTGCACACCTGGAGGTTTGACTGGGAACATGTTCTGAAAAGAGATGCTTTGAATGCGTGTTATTCTGTGGAAAGCTACGTCTTCCATAGCTGTTAGTGCCATGCTTTTAGATTAAATTAAATAGTTCAGTGTAACTATTAATCACTTCAATTATTTCCATAATTCCAACTCCAAGGCAGCTTTGTATTTTTAGCTGGCTTAGTCATATCACATGGTCATGACTTTCAAGGCATTGTCCAAGGGAGAGAAACAACTTGGAAAAATCTTACTAGACTGGAAGGCAGAAGTTTTCTCAGTTGACAAGCCCTCCTGGTGGTTTTGCAGCTTGGCTGCCTGTTTGGAAGCAGCCCCTGTGTCTTGAACTAGAGGGTTTGGGAAAGGACAGAACTGCTTTGGTGTATGAAAATCTGATGAACAGTAGAGGTGTAAAAGGTCTGGGAAACATGTGATTTAAATCCTTCCCAGAGCTGGGCATCGTGCCCAGCTCCCTCCATCCTAAACTCTTCTACAAAAGAGATAAAGACCATGAATCCAGAGAGGGCTGGGAGATTATTAGTCCAACAGACACTCCCTGTTCTCTACTGGATATGAAGCTAGTGTTGGCTTAGCCCTGTGCACTAGTGTAAAGTGTAAAGGTTAGAGGAAACTCCAACCTTGCACAGCCTTGTGTTGTTAATGAGATGCTAGAAGACAATGGAACGCAACTCAAAAGTCTGCAGGAGAAAGATTAATCCTGTGTCAATGGACACTTTAACCTGATTCATCCATCAGTCCCATTGTGTGCAAAGTGAGCCCTAATGATGCATCAGTCATTGGCCTGTAACTTGGTGAATAGTTGTTTTTTTTCTTTCAACTGTCCCAGTTCCCGTTGTTTCTGAGGTTTTAGTTGTAAGGTTTACAGCATGTTAGAGAAATACTGAGAATTATACTTGGGCCAGTGAGAGAAGATAGCCTAAAAAAATTTTTCTTTTTCAGTAGCTCCTTAAACCTACAATTTCACATATATCATTATTTGTATCTTATGGGCAAGTTTTTTTGGTTTTTTTTTTTTAGATCAGTCGTTTAACACCACTTGGTCTACAAAGATGTTTTAGAGACACTTTGTTACAGGTTAACAGGCCAAGTTCAGAAATTGATGTAGTCCCATAAAAACCAGTAGAGGTTACACTGGAGCTAACAGATTCAGTGTGAGTCTATTGCAAAGCTGTAAGAGGGCTGGCTGTGTATATTAACTGTTCTGATAAAATTTTTACAGTATGTATGAGCTTGTTTGTCCTAACATTTACCTTATGCCTTATGCTAGCAGATTTAGCTATGAACAAAAGTATTTCTAGGTGATCTTTTTGACCAGAGAACTGATTGTAGGGGAAGTACCTGTGCAAAATGGGATTAGGCTGCCGTCCTTGTGAGTCCCTGCAGAATGGTGAGGCAGCTGAGACCAATCTTGATTTAATCACCCCAGGAATACACAGAGGTCTGTGTTTTTCATGGAGCAGATAGAAGGACAAAACCACAAATTAAATATGAAAGTGAGTGCTGATTCTCACTATAATTATTTTTTGTTCTGAATTTATGGTAAATAAGAAGCAGTGGAATAAGAAAATTATGCAGTCCTAGACAGCTACAGATTACAGGCTTTTTAGTAGAGGTACTCCTGTGACGCCCAGTGAGCATCTGTTGGCTACAAAGTGCTTGGTCAGGTTTTCACGCACCTTCTCTTTGTCCAGGCCTCCACCCCTGCTGAAGGCTGATTTTTTTAGAACTGTATTTAAAATATTCCTGCAACACTCTTTTGCAAGTAGCAGGGCTTTTTATAAGGAGAGAGAGATATAATGAACTACAATGTCTTAAAGGCTAGATTTTTAAAGGTATTTAACTGCTTATAGTGATAGAAATTGACTATCTAGATGCTTTTGGAAATCCCTCAAGATGCTTAACTGTGTCTGTAGATGCTTTAATAAATTTGTTCCAAGTGGTTTGCCTAAGGTGCAGTTAGTCACTGCTAGAGAGTTGAAAAAGGAAACTTTCTCTTACTGCTGTAGCTATTAATCATTTTTGCCTTCTTTATGACAAAGCAATGGGAAAATATAGCTGTTTCTAGAACCTGATGGAATATGGAAGAAATAGCAATGAATTATAAAAGAAAACCGAAGTTCAGCTTTTTCTGAGTAGTAGACTTCTGTAAGATCATGCTTATAACTGTAATGGATGAAGGTAGCCTCCCACTGTTTGTCTCTATAATCACCATGTGTTTAATCAAAATTACTTACTAAATCCTTTCTACAGTGCAGTTGAGGATCTGTGAAGTATTGGGCAGCAGGTATTTGAGAGAATTTGATCCTCTCATTACATTTTGATAGGAAAAAATCACATACTAATATTTCTCTCCTGTGGTTGATCATAGTTCTTGTTGCAAACCTAGTATCTGGTTTGAGTATTTAATGTTTCCAAGTTTGCATTCAATTTTCTTGATATCATCTCATTTACTTGCAAATACAGGGTGAGTCGAATGCCAGGTGAAACGATTTTTTGTGTACTTTTCAAAAAATAGTGATACAGTCCCCACAAGTAGCTTTTGTCAGTGTGATCTTTTTACCCTGTTTTTCGTCATTATTGCATATTCTCAGTTTACTGGGTTTTTTTCATCAAATGCTTTTGTTTTCAATAACCAGGATGCTGAGAAATTGGCCGGTGAAGAGCATGCCTGGAAAGAAGTCAAAGATGCTGTAAATGAAGTGAGATATCCAAAATCAAAAGAAGGTATCCTTTTGGTGACCAGCTACAGTCTGTCATTCAGTTGTGAAACCAATTCAGAGTCCCTTAGTACACAGTTCATCTTTTGAGATTTATTTCCTAAAAGCTTACATGTTTATATTGTTCTAAAATGTATTTTTAACTCACTTATTTGATGTTTAAACAGTGTAATATTCTTCACTGTATGAATAATAATAGAATCTCTGATTACTTGGGCTGAAACTGCTTCATGGCAGGAACAGTAGATACTTAGGATGTGAAGGGATATTTTGGGTCAGGTTTAGACTTCTGCCATCACAGCCCACCTTGTCATATAGTTCCACTTTTAAATGAAATAGAGCTTAATCTGAAACACTGTTCAATTCTTTGTCCCATTACTCCCATTGCGAACATCTCTGGGTTCTCATTCTTTGCACAGCAATGACAATAACAAGGTTATAATCACAGTCAGGTTCACTGCAAACATTGTAGAATCATTATAATAAGTTGTAATAATAACATATAATAATAATTGATAATTAACCAAATTGAATGAGATGATCTTGCACTAATAAACAGAATTAGAGCCTAATGACCATCATGTAGATATTCAATCCAATTAAAAAAATAGTGAACAGAAACAACGAAGAAAAGATAAGCAGAAGAGAGGTGGAGATTTTTACCAGAAGATTATGAGTATATTGATCTCTCTTCCATCTTAGTCTATTCAGTGGAATTTCACTGACTCTGAATTTGGCTTATTGTAGCAAGATGCGTTACCATTTTCAGAAACATGAGATTTCTCTGGAGCTAGAGAGAATGAAATCTTTCAGTACCCCTTTTCAGCAGCACAGAAACCAAGTTTTCATACTGATAGTCCAGGCTGGAACAAGTGATCACAATTTTTATTGTAACAAAAACCCCATGAGTTTGTTTCTTTCTAGTCCAGAGTGATTAATTTGTTAGCAAAAGGGAAACAGTTATCTAATCTAACTTTCATTTTCATATGGTTTCTAGTCTATCTTAAATTCCTCTGTAGTCACAGGATTGAGATGGACAATGCTAAAATAGACCTTCATGCATTCAGTTATGCTTCAGGGCCCATGTTTTAGCCTGAAAGTTGAATTATGAATATGCAACATGCAGTTGCCCTCATTTTTATACTGAAAGTATGAAGCCATAATACCAGTCCTATTTAATGGTCCTATATTTAATTGCAGGAGAAATTGCACCACTGAATTTTGCTAGGGTCTTTAAGATCTAACTGATATTTTTAAATTAATCAAACACATTATGAAAGGTATAAGGACTGATTGAAAAAATATTTACTTGTCTGTTCAGCTTCTATTCTCAGACATGGGCTATTTAAAATGTGTCATCTTTCCTTCCATTGCACCACCATACCAGTGCTAATTGACATGCAGTGGCGAGTGCAGTACCTGAAGAGGGGGCTTGACATTTGTCCACTTGCCAAGAATGCATAGGAAACCTTCCTTGCTGGCTAAGACACATAGTCATTAGTTTATGCAAATTAAATTTTTTTTAGCAAATTAAACCAACAGTTCTTACAGCTGAGAAAGTTAGTGACTTCAAAACCTGAACTACTGATTACAACCGATACAGTGTTGTAATGCTAAATCTGCAGTTAGAGAACCTCAAACAATATGTGTAAGTGAGCTGTTTCAGACCCAAATTCCAGTTTAAGTGTACAAATTGAGATGCCAAAGCCCGGTGCAAGGGGATTATTGTAGAGAAAAAGGTTGCTCTGCATCTCAGGCCACGCAACAGTAGCAGAGCTGCTTGAGGGCTGCTCCTCTAGTCTTGAGCAGATACAGGAGAGCCATGTTCACTTTTGTCCTGTTGCAGCTGATAGTGGGTTTCCAAGTTTTCAGTTTATGTACCTGACAATTTGGTCCCAACAGCTTTTGCAATATAGCACATCTGCTATTAGATGCTAGTGAGTGAACAAAGCAATATAATGAGAAGTAAAAGCAGACAAATACTATGCATCAGCTAAAATGGTAATCTTTCAAGAATGTCAGTGCTTTGTACTTTCTACAATAATTGTATCAAGTGGAAATAATATCCCTCATTCTTCTGTTTGTCTGTCCTTAATCAGTTGTAAAGAATACATGGATGTTTGCCAGAGATATAAAGGTTAAGGTGCAATTTTATAATAACACATTCCTTCCCTTATATGGTTCTTTCAATCCAAGGGCAGGAGAGCAATTCACAAATAATTAGTTTAGTCTTGTAACAACCATGCTATAAATCCTGGCCCAGCCACATAGTGGTCACATTCTTAAATTTAACTATGTAAATATTCCCATGTTCAGGAAGAACTAATTACCTCATGACAGGGTTACTGCTGTACACTTAAATCCATTGCTCGATTGGGGTGAAATAGCATTTTCAGCAATGTCGTGAAGATAACTGCTGAACTTCCTTGAATTGATTGTGTGGAAAGGACTGTGATACAAACAATGTTATTACTTCTCTTATTGTAAGTCTTAATTTCTTTTTATTTGAGTTGTTCTTACTGGTGTGTATGGTATCTTTTTGGTGTTTAGACTGCTTGTATTCTGGGACTTCCATAAAGTCCCAGATGACAATACTCATTTAAAATATGGGTATATTGGTATTCAGCTTAGGTGTGGTCAGAGACAGAAGAATCTGGTCCATGGAGAAGTCAAACCAGTGTAGAATGTAATGAAAATAATTGGTAAGGAATATCCAACAAAAGTGAACCCAAACTCCATCTTACTTTTCCTTTCTTCAAAACACACAAAAAGTATTCCTGTAGCACTGGAGGTAAAAATCTTTACTGCCAAGGTCCTTAATCCTGAACTACAGTCAGACATCAAAACTGCGATGCTTTTCCTTCTCGTGCATGAAACACACAGCTGTACACCCACCCCCCCCCAATGTTCTTTATAACTGTTTCAAGGAGAAATAAAATTAATTAACTGCAATAAAAGGTTCTAATTTCATGAGAATTCTAAACCAAATCTTGGGCAGCGTAGAAATATGTGTCACTATTTTAATATACAAAAAGAAAAGTAGGGTTTTTTTAGCTGCTGAGAGATTTGTTAAGACACATTTCCATGGGTTCTTGCCCTTGGGTGTAAGATTTGGAGAAGTATCTTAAGTAAATAATAATGTTTCAGCAAATAAAAAGTATTTGCATTATAATTTGTTATGTATTAAAATATCCTTTCATTTTGTCATCTGTCTTTTACCTTTTATTGCTGAAATACTGCCACCTTTAGAAATTGTTTTGCTAAATGTAAACAAAGCATGGTTACCTAAGCTACCACTTCTGAGTTCAAGTATGTTTTCAAGGAATGAAGCAGAGTCTGGAATGATGGCAGCTTTTTTATCTTAATGCCTTATAGCTCTTATTCCTTGCTAACAACATTTAGAACTCATATTTTTGTTTGAGTAAAAATACTTCTTTAACTAAGGCTAATAACAGAGTGGGAGCAGGTTCTGACAAGATGCCAGAGTCTCCTGAGTGGCAGTATGGGTCATCTTCCAGACACAAATATCTATCAGCTGAAAATGCTTGACTGTGCCATGGATGCCTGTATTAACCTTGAATCCTGGGAAGAAGCTTTGTATTATGGCAGCAGGACTCTGGAACCATACAGGTAAGAGATGTAATTGGTTCAACTGTTTCCGAGATGGGGGGAGAGGGGGCTGTCTCATTAAAAGCAAAGATTGTGTTTCATCTAGATGTTTCTTACTGGTTTTATTTCTTGATGTATATCTTGCCTTGCTTTCCAAGTTAATGAATGAAGCAGAGATCCCATTCTGCTTCGGTGGTCAGGCTGAGAGCAAATAAAATAATAATAATAGGAACTATAATAATAACTGCTTATTAGCTCCTCACTGTTTCATGTGTTGAGATACTGCTTCATCCCTGATCAGAAGCTGACTTTCTGGTTCAGACACCACTGACATGAGGGTATCAGTGTTTTGCTGAGTTAGGTCAAGCTCAAGCAATAGGTAGCTGGCTGAAATAATGTATACTCTCTGTATACGCTATACATAGAGTTATAGAAAGAATAAAATAAATCTTGAAAAATGCATTTTCAACTGGAAATGAAAAAGTACCTGGTCCCTGTTTTGGGAAGGGGCTGAGGTGGTTAAGCACTTGCTGTTCTTTTCTAGTACTTGCTCCTGTGCTACGTGCTGGGACAGTTTCAGAGTCTGATAGCCTTTTACTGGTAAGGAAGGATGCTCTAGGAGATTCTGCTTCACGTAGTAAGTCTTGAAGTTGATTGGAGCCTGGAGCTGTAATGCAACTTTGGTCATCTAGTAATGAAAGGGCAGGTGCCATCTGCTTTGATCTGTGTTCTAAAAGCTCTAAAGACTTAAATATTTGGGTTCTGGAAATTTGCATTGTAACTAAATGTAAACCTCTGCTGAATGTCTGGATATAATATCATTCATGCATGAATGTTCATTTTTGGTAAGGTATTTTTTAGAGCATCCATTTCTTCTCTATTGTTCCTCTACACCATGTGATGTTCCAGTATATAGTGTGATGTTGAGAAGTGTGAGGCGCGTGTTAGTGCTGAACAATGTGTGCTGCTGTGAACATGAACATCTCAGATTTTACATGTCTTCCCTAATCAAACCAGGATGCCATCAGCATTCAGAATTTTGCCTGAGGAAATTTCATCTGGCAGCCCATTTCTGAATAATAAAACTCTGGGCTTTACTTGAGAAACAACACAGCGTTTCAGAGCTTTCACTATGAAGTAATTAACAACAAATCTGCATAGGCTGTGGTACACCAGAGCAGTAGAGAAGCTCAGCGTTCATAAGGACTAGTACTTCTCATAGAGGAGGGCATGATTCTCACATTTCTTCAGGGTGAAATTCATGTCATGCATGTCCCACTTAACTTTTCAAGCAGAGTTTATGTAGTGCTGCAGCAGTACATGCTGTCTCCCAGCCTTCTACCATGTGGCGTGCTCCAGATGAAGAGAGTAGTCTGCCTGTTAAAATGTTCCCTTATTAAATAGTTAAAAAAAAAACCTAAAAAAAAAAACCTAACTTTTTTTTTTTTTTAATTTTATAACTTGTTAACTCAGTTCTTCACAACTAAAAACTGAGGATTTTTCTACAGACATTTCCAAGAGTAGGTGTTACCGTGAGACCAAGTGAAATTTTGCCAGATAATTTAATAAAGCTTTCTCCATTTTACTTACTGAAGTGTACTGTAGTTTTCAAGCTGTTTAATGCATGAATTTGGAGATGAAGGAAAGGGTTTGACTGTGGATTCAATTAGTATCTCTTAAAGAATGCTATTTACATGAGGTATTTGACCTTTTTTGCACCTTGAAGAGCTTGTCCTTGTTCTCTCCTCATCCAAAAGCATTATTTAAGAGAGATTTTCAGTTGTTTTTTCTTTATATACCTTCAAGTCATCACTACAAGCTTTGACACACCTGAAACAAGATCCTCAGTTTCTCATTATAAGAAATTGTGTCCTAAGCAGCAGGAGAGCAAATCCTAAGAAATCTTTTGGGATGCATTGAATTTCTCCTGTTGAATCAATCTACTGCTTGGCTGCTCCTGCAGTTCCGTTATAGCTATCTATTTTCCTTTCCTCACCTCTTGAAAAAGTATTCATGCAGCTCTCCACAGGGAATCACCTGAGATTTCAAGCAGTCCATATAAATAGGAAATCATTGTTACGACTTTAAAGGCTCTGGAGATTTGGTCAAAAACAATTCTAATTTCAGGTAATGTGTTTACTGTGCATTTTCCATTTCTTTAGCAGCAGGATTAATTTTCAGTGCTGTGTGACACATTGTATCATAATGTATATGGTTGGTGACTTCTTCAGAGTCATCCACTTCATGTAACTGCCAGAGACAGATGGTTAAACTGTTTTGTCATACTGAATACCAACCTCTATGTTTTCGGTAGTGATGATAACCTATAAGAAACATTGTTTAGGACCTCTCAAATATTTTTAGAACTTCCAAAAAGGAGAGACATGACAGCTGTCAAGAAGAAAAGCTGCCGTCTCTTTTTGTGCTGGACCATAATTTGTTAAGACCTGCAACATGTACATTCACTGAGTAGCCTAAGCTAAATGTATCCACACAGCTTTTCTATTAAATGTCACAGTAATAGTCTGCCTGTCCAAGAGTCTTAACAAAAGCTAAGACATTTGCCTAACTGAAAGCTGCCCCACATCATAGTCAGCACTCAGCAGCTTGCAAAACTAAACTTCCTTTCAAAAATCCTCATGAGCCTTAACCACAGAATAAAAGAATATCAGCAAGAGGTGTCATGGGTTTGTCATGTCTCAGCACGTTCACACTCTGGGCTGACTGCTGCTCGTGAAGGAGTGGATTCAGAGATACTGAGTAAGGCAGAATTCCCTTAGGTTACCTCCAAGAAAGCACCCTAGCATTTAGCCCTTAGATTACAGAGAAGGCATGTATGTTCTGGGGCTTGGGTTTGGGGTGGGTTTTTTTGCCTTGTCTCAAGTATTCAGTGCTTACACTGCCAAGAAAGAGTGGAACTATGCGTCTGTTACAAAACTGCTATGTGTCCTCTGCTACTGTGACAACAGTAATAGGACGACAAGTAGTAGCTAAGTGACACTGGGGGCCTACTGGATTTACGAAGCAGAAGGGACTGGGTAAAGCCATGTCACTTCTGCGCTCTTGTGGCATCAGGTCTGGTGAGATTCTGATACAGAGAGGACAAACATGTTCATCTGTTTCTATTCTGTACTGCTCATCATCTCCTGCTGTACCTAAAGCTAATGTATAAGTCACACTGATCTTCAGACAGGCTGTTTTAATTAACAACCCTTCATCTCCACTGCTTCAGCATTAGGAATTACTGGAGGGCTCCAACATTGACAAGAGGAAATTCCTTCTTTTCATCCCCTACAGAAGTGTTGTGCAGGAATGTTGTTCTCGATCTTCCCAGGGCAGCCTTGCACATCCTTCTCCCACCATCCTCCCTCTGCTGAGTCAGCACCAATACAGGGCTTGTGCTGTTGTAGCTGTTCTGTTTCTGGAGTGAGAGGGAGCTGGGTAGGTACGAGCATCCCATATTTGAGGTAGATGTGCATCATTTGTCTGTTCTTCTCACTCCTATTTGCTATCCCCTCCAGTGATGTTTTGCAGTATCCCATTACTTCATCTTTTCTTGGTGACTGAGATCTTTTAGGAAACAGGGAAACCAATCCCAGTCAACACAATTTCAGATTGTTCTGCAAAGGGCTAGGTTTAAGAACACTGTTTGGGATATGCTTCTCATCAAGTATTTTCTTGAGAACATTGTTGAATTTTCATTGTGTCAACAAAATGTCAGCCAGGAAGATTTGATTTAGAATGCCAATTCAATAGATATGATGAAATGTAGTTTGTAAGTATGTGAAATCAAAAGGCAGATTAAAAAATTGGTGGTTGCTATAGTATCTTTTCCATGAGTCATGATCTTGTAAAATATCCAAAAAAAAGCTGTAGAACCTAGTATTCTTGGAAGAGACCCTGAACCTATTTTTCTTCTTCAAAAAGTCTCTCCAATAAAGAGTGTGATTTTATTTTGGTCTGATTCCCCCCCCCCCCTTTCAAATATTTTATAAAAAATCCTGCTCTTACTGGTATGTGTTTTCTAATATACATGATACATGCAATGACTGGAAATAAATTAAAATTTTTCGTCTTTACCTATGATGAAATATATATGATTCTTTACTGAGTTCCGCAGACTCCTGAATACTCTCTAGTTCTGAGGCACTTGACTTGAATTTACAGTTACAAAAAAAAAAAAAAAAAAAAAAAAAAGTGAACTGCAGTGATAAATAGGACCACTGGGGGATGCTAGTGCTTAAGGGTTAAAGTGTGGATTCAGCGCCAATCGGCACCCTGGTTGTGGGAAGTCTCCTGGGGACTTGTGCTTGGCGGGCAGATTTCTGAACCTACAGATAGTAGTAATTCAGTGACCAAAGTTCAGTGTCTTAATCATAAAACATCAGTGGTAACCATAAATCTTACCTCTGGGATCACCTGAGAGGGAGACTAAAATATGAAGGTGAAGAAAGCAATTCAACGAAAGAATGAAACAACGAACAGAAAGAATAAAATCTACCTTGCTTACTTTTCTCGGGTTTTAGAAAATGGCCATGGGCATTTAGCTCTGATGTGTGGAAAAGAAAAGAAAAATGTGTGGAAAGAAAAGAAAAAATATCTTACCAAAGAACTGTAAGAAATTAAACAAATTGCAGATCATGGGAAAATCTGAATAACAAGTATCCTTTCTTTCTGATGTCTAAAGAAAAAGGTGTGAATTAAGATTTAGAATTGGATTTTGGTTCATGAATGGTTCCACTGATTTTTTCATCTACACATGGTAAGATAGTAGTCCCAAGTAAACATCAGAGGTTTGTGAAAGGGAGAGCGAGGTACGTTTGCTAAAAGAGTAGGTTGTGTCTGTGCAGATATGCAAGGCTGAAGGCGTCACAGCTTACTGGAACCTCAGGGAGCTGTTGCTATAAACCAAGTGAGGAGCACTAAGCAGCCTTGGTGCACATTCAATGTAAGGAAATCAACAAAGGGATGAGAGCTTGATAGTCACAAACTGCTAAAGCAGGTAGAAACAGTGGACAGCA